CACTTCACTCACTCGATAGTGGCAAAAGACGTAAAGTAAGCTTGATTGAGGAGTGACTGATGGGGCCCGCACTGGGAGAGGAGCGAGGCGGGCGCGACGGCGGGGGTGAGCATTGAAGAGGGGGGCGTTGAGTTTGAGAGTAGGGTATAAGGAGAGAGGGCGAGAGCAAAGCGGGCGAGCCAGGCGAGAAATCCAGTCACAGGAGCAAAGAAATCAGGCTAGATGGCCCCTTACCATCCATGTGGTCGGCGCAGGAACGTCTCCTCGCCTGGCCTTCCACGTCTTCCTACGGAAATGGGAGCTTTTGGGGGTTTCCTCTCGTAGTATTTATGTTTGGTACGTCCCCGCAGTTTCTTTTATCTACAGTGCTTTCGACTGCCCCCGTTCCTCCCTCCCTCCCTCGGCCACGACCTCCTCCTCGTCCTCCTCGTCCCCCCACCCCTCTTCCATCCTCCCTCTCTCCCTCGCTTGCAAACCATTGAGTGCTCGCCTCTCCCGGTCGATCTGCTCCAGCTCCCGGTCCACCATTTGGAGGCGTGCTCGAGCCTTGCTCAACCTCCCTGTATCGATACCTGTGGGGGCCGATGGGGGTTGACACAGAGAGAAAGAGAGAGAGGGAGGGAGCAGAGGAGAAGAGGAGAGGGGAGCCAGACGTGAGGTCCATGGGATTGGTTGTCGCCGTGGAGCCGGCTGTCTTGTTCCATCACGCGAAGAACGACACCCTTAGACAGGCCCCGCCCCCCCCCTTCCTTATCTTCGCTCGGTGCCTCCTCCCCTCTCCCAACCCACCTTCCCCCGCTCGCAGCACGTCCGCAATCCGCCTTCTCCAGACCTCCCTGGAGACCATCAAAGACTCCTCTCTCTCCTCCAAGCGCGCCATGTCCGACGCAAAACTCTCCTTTTCCCTTTCCTCCTCCACTTTTCCCTTCCTCCCTCCAATCCCACCTCCCGTCCTCCCCTTTTTCCCTCTTCCCACGTTCGACCAGACGGCAGGCTCCTCCCTCTCACCAGTCTTGCGCAAAATGGCTTCGCGCCCATCTCTTTCTCCCTTCCCCCCTCCCTCTCGTTTCCCTCTCCTCTCCGCGTCGAATTGCTGCGGGTAAGTCTGTCGGTCGAAGGGGAAGGCCCCTCGGAATACCCCTCCCCCCCCCTCCGTCCTCGCTCTCTCGATGTCCTCCTCCGCAGCCGCCCGCCACCCTTGGCCCACGTCCTGGGGGCGGTTCCATTCACCTGAAGGTTGTTCCCGGGCCCGAAGGGAGCGAGAAAGAGAGAGAGGAGGGTAAGAAAAACGCTGAAAGGCTGTGGGAGGGAAGGGGGAAGGGAAGGAGAGGAGAAAGGGGAAGGGAAGAAGGGAAGGAGGGGAGGAAGGGAAAGAGGAAGGAGGGAAGCACGCACCCAGCCAGTCTATCTCGTCCAAGTAGTAGTCATCATCGTCGTCGTCAAGCCCTTCCAAACCGAACCAAAAGATGCGCTGGTAGACATCTCTGAGCCATTCCAAAAAGACGTTCTTGTTCCTTCGCACAGGCCGGCCCTCGCGCCCGACGCCCACGCTGTGGAAGAGGGTAGGACAGGGAGGCGTTTGGGGAAGATGCAGGGGAATGAATGCAGCGTTGCGAATGGAAGTATGCCAGAATGCCGTAGCAATAGCCTGGGCTGCATCTTGCGGAAACATTGAAGAAAAAAATTCACTCCCTTCCCTCTACGTACATTCGAGCCACCTCGTCCTGGTACTCCTCCTCCTCGTCGCCGTATTCCTCCTCCTCGTCCCGCTCCTCCCTCTCTGACTTTCGTCGGACGAAAAGCCGCGGACCCCATGGCCCCCTTTTGTCCTGCTTCGTCTCCCTTGGCGCAGTAATTGGTAGCCTGGTGGGTCTTATGCCATTGGTAGGGCTGATGAAGGGGCGAGGGACGAGAAAGGCGTGCGTCGTCGAGCCAGGAAAGGGCTCCAGTACAAGGGAGAGGGCGAATGCAGATAGGCAGAGGATGGAAGTCGGAAGCATGAGCTTGTGACTGCCAATTTTTCGGAAAGCAATGGGCTTGATGTGATGATGGGGAAAGTGACGGGAGGATGGGAGAGGCTTTCTCAGCTGAGAACTTCAAAGCAGGTGCAAGCGTTCCGGTGGCAGCTGCACGGTCCTTATATCATAGTGTGGACGAATCGTTCATATTACAGATACAAAAATGTGTTTTGTTATCGGTGTGTCCTCTTCACTTGTCGGATCGTTCATAGTGTGGCACTGCCTGTGGTACGTCGCTTTCGAGAGGGAGGCGAGTCGGCGACTGAGGAGTCGAGTACGGAAGAAAGAATACATCTCATAAGCAGGGAAGACATTGCGTGACTAGTGCAAAATTTTGAAAAAATAACCGTGACGCATAAGGGCTGTGAAAGTTCACATTCCTGGAAGAGATGACGTGACGGAAAGGAAATTGCACGGTTAAAAGGAGGGGACGAATCCCGCCTCCAAGGGGAAGTTGATACTTCTGTTTACATTTTCGCATCTCGTGCTACACAAAGAACAAAGGTCAGAATATAATGGCCTCGCCGTTTTCCTCAACTGGGGGTAAGCTGGGGCTGGCTTCGAAGGTACAGACACAGGGTAGTTGTCACGACGCGGAAAATTCAGATGGTTGCTGCCTTGCTGGCGTCGACGACAGACTCGAGGCTTTGGCACACTCAGTTTCACAAGACGTTATTCCCGGTTTAGAGCGTGAGCTGAATAAGGTAATCAATGGAGCGAAACGGAACAGGGTCTTTGGGGAAGGAACCGGGAATCTCTCATCATTTTATCTACTTATGTAGGTGCGAGGTTGGTTGGCAATGCTGGACGCTCGTCAACCTGTGGGGTGTATTTCCGCGCGCGCTAATCCGTCGGGCTTGTCAAAGACACAATCGTTATCTGAGCGCAGCGGAGAAAGCGAGGCGGTTCCGATTTCTCAGTCGGAATTGAATTTGAAGGTGCATCATAAACTTGAGACATTGAATACCGCGGTGCGGGTGTTCAAGGTAAGAAATCCGAGTACATGCTTAAACCAAGTCTCGTTGTGAAAGCTAATTGTATATAATAATATCGAGCATCCTACTGACAGACGGCACTGGGTACCAATTACAAGGCGCCGATGAAGACGACAACTTATTGACGTGCGATATGCAGAGAGAAATATGGATAATCGCTTGATTGAGAAATGAATGTATAAAATTATTGGAATGCTAATTTAAAAAGAAAAAGAAATTTTCATTAGGCTTATATTCCACAAAATCAGCAAGGACTCTATGGAAGCACTCCTTTTTTCCCGGTAAATATTTTTCTGCCAGACATTGAGCCGTATTCTTGACATGATAATATTTAAGGTACCGATTTGAAGGCAATCTCCAGGGCTCGTGGCCTAGTGGTATGGCGTCCGCTTTGCAAGCGGAAGGTCGCGGTTTCGATCACCGTCGGGTCCACTTTTTTCTTTGCCATAAGTGTGCATTATGAATGTGCGACAAGCGGAAGGTGTGCGCTGCCTTTTGTGTGTTGCGTTCTTGAGCGAGAGTGCCTCTCGACACCTTCAAACCAGCAGTGGCGGGTCTTTTCTTCAAGAATTTTTTCCTCTCAAGGAAACACATGGCTGAATGAGAATTTTAGATGCGTTTCATCTCTAACCCTAATCCAAACATTTCAATTCGCTTTATTCTGCCCAGATCACTTCAGGCATACAAGCCATCTTTGGTCGTCATATGTGTAAGTGGGATGAACAACAGGTATGCTGGGTAACAGATGTAGGATGACGAGTGGAGAGAATCACAAGCAAAAAAAGATGCAATGTGGTAGGAAGCTTTTTGCTCGCAGGCGGAATCGAACCGCCGTTTCTTCGGGATTTGCTCAATAGAGCCACAACGAAGTGTCCTGTATGTCGATACTGCACTCTGTCACATGTGTACAGCGTGCAAGGGATCGGAACCACTAGACGATGCAAGCCCATTCGCTTGCGGAATCGAACCGCACAGTCGCTGCCGGAGCGGCAACTTAGTCACCTGTTTGACTAGCGATGCTTCCCATCATCCTCCCACGCAATCTCTGACTTTATGAACGTATCTTCAATCACTTCGCTAGGTTTGTCCAGTCTCACGACTATATGTCTGTTTGGAAGATGGCGAATTTAGAGTTCAGTAGGACTTCGAAGAGATCTTCTAAAGTAAAATGAGATTGTCATGCATGTTCACTTCCGCATAGACATGCTATTCGACTGCAGTGTTGCTTTTCGTCCGAGAGGCGCTTCACGTGATACAAGACGATATGATAAAGAAAAGGAAAAATTCACTCTTTTTTCTTTCCTTCATCGTAAGTCGCGTCTGTGCGTTGATATTGTCCTAGGGGGCGAGTGTCATTGTACTTGTTGTTAGGCTATCTTCAAATCGATCGGGACATCACATGAAAGTTGCCACACCTCTAGTGCTTTTTTCGTGCACTTATCATGCACGTGGCACATGGAGCCGAGCAGCTTTGTGACTCGGATCACAACACCCGCAAAAACATCACAAATTCTTCTTTTGTAACAAAAAGTGGCCATCTATTTTGGAGATTCAGCATGAGAGGCATGCGGACAAAATTGCACTTGCAAGTGAGAACCTATTCCACGGCTTACGTGCTCTAATGATGGGTGAATTTCGAAGTTTCACACGCGTCAACATTGTTAGTTCCAAATGTGAAGATTGTTAGCTCCAGACGTGAATTGTGAATTGGAAAAAGTTCTATATTACACAGAAAACGGCCACTGTACATGCTGTTTGGTTGAGTGGTTCACTTATGTGTTTCGGAGATGTTAGGCACCATGCAAAGCATCCTTTTTTTTTAAGTTTAATTGAGAAAACACTTCACTCACTCGATAGATCTTTCTCTTGAGAAGGATGTAGAGAGTAAATTATCTTCGATTCCTTAAGCAGAAAGCGATATCCTACAATAAGCTTTCCGAGGAATTTGATATACTTGCAACGTGAGGGGCTTCGCGAATGTAGCGTAGCGACAGCATAGGCTTATCTTGCTGTCCGCAGAATTTGCACAGTGAATTAAATTTAAATAACAATCATATTTCACAGCATGCTCAATGTCCGAAAGGGAAAAAATACATAGAATGTCACTACTGCAAATAGCATGAGGATTTCAAGCGTCATAGCGAGGTTCTATAATATAAAGAGAGATAGGGCATTTGGGCTCGGAATGTAACTGATGGGTGTCGAGAATTTAGATAAAAAAAATCATTTGCAGACACTTTAGCTGTCACCGCTTTCAAATTCTTGCTTTTAGAATAAAATGAATATTGGCATGGTCTACCTCCTGGCTACGTCTGACGCCACGAAAACAACGAAAATAACTGCAACGGGCAGAGCCTCGCCCGCACAACGACTTCGAGTGTAGATAAATGTTATTTGATATTATTTAAAACCTACAAGTGCATTTTTCGCTAGGCCATTTGTAAAGCCCAGCAGAAAGGCGTGCTCGTGGAAAAAAGCCCCTGGGGGTCGATCTTCCCCCCGTTCCGATCCGTTCTTTCCCCCCCGGGAGGACAAGTCGATCGTCAGCCGCCTTGTCATCGCCTGGGGTTTCCCTCCTTTTCCCGCCGTCCGCGCCGTGGTCGCGCGTGCCAAGGACTGGCCGCCGGTCACGTCTGCCTTTGCAGCTCATGGAAATGGCGTGCCTCGTGTTTATGTTTGGTGCGTGCTTGGACATCATGCCTGGAGGTTCTTGCGATCAGAGTGGCTATGTGCTCGGGAACTGGATTCTATTCCGCACGCTCTATCGCCCCTTGCGGCCTTCCCCCATCCCCTCATCACATACCACGACGGACACGGTGGCATTAGCGTGCACAGTGCCGCGCAAAATAAGTGTATTATTGAGTGATAATTGATTTGTCTACACCTGTGAACACGTCCGCCCTGAAACGGGACCATGCAGACCATGTGACTGGCATCTGCGGCCTGGTTGTTGTCGAACGCGCAGAAGGCGAAAAAATTGTTCCTTCCTAGAAACGCGCGTCGTCAGTGCGTTCTGGATGGGGCCATGCGAGCCGATGAGCCTCATGGCCATAGAAATGCTCGACGTATGTCCTAGCCTCATCACGCGGTGGCTCACAATAGCATTTACGGGTGGGCCGTGGTGGACTTTTGTATGATGAGAAAACCCTGGATGCAGCGACGCGAAAAGGGGTGGAGCCCGCCCGCAGCGTATGTGATTTTCGGGTTACGAAAGACACGAGTGTAAGAGTCGCGAATACCACAAAAAATGCCCCACCGCACAGGTGTGATATGTGAAGAGCGTTCGGTAGTGACGCGCTAGAGATCTTTGGTCAAGTGGAGCACTGTGTGTGCTATCTCGCGAGCTCTGCTTTCCTCAGGTTTCGGTGCCACTCCGATGCGCTTTCTTCGGCTCGTGCGGCACCAACTCTCATCGATCTCTCTAAAACCTTTACATTCAGAGACATAAAAGGTTATTCGCCAAGGACTTCCTCGTCCGATACCCCAGCGTGTCCTCTTCGCCTCTCGCAACCCTCTGCCCCGTAGTACCGGCGCCGAAGGAGACGGAAGAACAAAGTTTTGAGTTCCCAACTCCCCCACAGACAGCTTCCTGGATAAATCCCGCTTACATGCGCTTGGAAAACAGTAACATGAGTCTCACGAGCAGCAGTAGCTGCAGCACCTGCTCCCTCCCACCCGCCTCGTCCACCTCTGCCCTCGGGGCCGCTCCGCTCCGACGCCGGCGCCGCGTCAACGGGGTCGGAGCAGCGGCTTTCCTACTCGGACTCTTGGTAGGAGGGGCGCACGCCTTTGTCCCGGCCTATCACCGAAAGTTGGCGGCGGCTGCTCCCTGTGCGGCGGCCAATAACAAGAGACGGGCGGGGGGAATGAGCGGGCACCAGTCGGTCACGATGTCGGTAGGTTGGGCGGGGACGAGGGGGGAGGTTCCAAAGGAGGGAGGCGCCTTGACAAGTAGTAGAGAAATTATGTGCGCCCGAGGCCCGCTGCGTGGCTTGGCACCCTGGCCCACACTGCTCACACTGCTCGCCTTGCCCCTTCTCTTACGCTGTTGGACTCTTTCTTCCCTGGCAGGCGGTCGCCCGCGACAGCCACACCGCCTCCGTCCCCGCCCCGCCCACCCA